TATATATATATATATATATATCTTTGATCAGCTAAATAACAAAATTAAAACTTCCAGATCAAGTCATCTTACCTTACTTATAGTGTTCTATAGACCTAAACACTTAGCTGTAAAGCAAGCATTGAAGAAGAAATCAAGAGAAAGAAGAAATCAAGTTTTTGTGTAAATAATGTAAGTGACATTATTTACACAAACATTAATATTACATTAATATAATATTAATATACACAATGCCATTAATATTATTTGTTAGGTTGATATTGAACTAAAGTATTTCTTTCTTTCCCTCTGATACAAAGAAACACAAATAATTTGCAAGAAATTCATACTGCTGGCACACAGGACAATCACGCTCTTCTCCTTGTGGCTGCAGCATTGGCTACTTGTTTTCAATTTGTAAAGATATGGGTCAACCACCACATGCTTTGGCTAAGACCTGTGGTACTGAGCTGAGACACAATAGAGCTGAATTGAGGTGGTGGTGAATTAAGCTCCATGAAATAACACTCGTCTTTGCATAACACAATGAAACACAAGCCTGCCCATTACTGCTGTGTAAACTCAATGTATTGTGTTTCTTAAAATAATCAGGACATGCAAATATTATTTGTGCAGAAGATAGAAAATGTCAGTTTAAGCAGCTTTCTTCCTGCTGTCTTACTTTCCATTCTTGTAAAGCAGCTGCTACCTTTTCAAACTGGTAGAACTGTAGCAAAATTTGATCATTGTCCCCTGGTGTGATCTATTTATCCTCCCAGCTGCTGATTCTACTGGATGGGGAGCATGCCTGGGTCACAGCATGTCCTAATTTGTGTATTCTGCAAAAAGAAGCCGGGTGCTTCTGAATCATATGCAAATCCTGTGCATAATTCTTTCTCTTGAGTTTTGCAAGATAGCTTTGTTGAAACATCTCCCTCCCCCCCCCCAATTTGTCAAGGCACGGCCTTCAAAAACTCTTCATGCTTGAAACTTTTCTCCCTGTAAAATGATCAGCTTTTGTTTTTGCAGTTGTGAAAGAATTAGTTATTAACTCTGCGGAATGTGAGAAGCCATGCACACCTCTAGTGACATATTGAGAATGTATATATATATATAAAAAGCAAACCCAGGTTATGCCCAAAAATATTAGAATTTTTTC